GATCTTTATTAGATTAAGAAAAAAATTCACAGTTTTATTTTTATTTTTTTTTTGATGTAGTGATGTGTGAAATCACCACTAGTAAAAGAATATCCAAGTTTCCCTACAGCATCAATAATACCGGGAGTATTCATCTTATTGTATGTGAGAATACAACAGATATACATTGGGCACAGAAAACATCACACATCAGATATCATTTATTAAAACTCACCTTACTTTTTCTCCATTTTACAACATGCTAACTGCTATGCTGCTCATGTTTAAAGTTAAGAAGAAAAAAACATTTATTTGGAAGAACTTTCTCTTAAGAAGTAAACTTCTGAATGAAAGAAAAATTTTGTTTCTAGATTAAAACATCATAGGTAGAGTTATTGACAATCCTTGGTTTCATCTCTCCTTCCCAAGGAACAAATAAGTTTAATGTTGTTTACCTCTGCAGATCTCAACTTACTCAGAGGCACAATATTTTTAGGAGGAAAATAATAGAAGCTTGAATTAGAAGGAACCTGGATGACATTCTGGCTCAATACTGTTATAGAACAGTACTGAGCTAGGGAAGGTCATCAAGAAGACATGACTGCTGGTTTGAATATGGGAACTGGACCTTGGTGATGGGAGGCTCCCCATTCCCTCCTCTGTGCTTGGAGGTTTACTCCTCTCACCTTCCTAGCACTACAAGCTGCTCAAGATCACAGCCTTCAGATAGTGATGTGGAAATGAGACTATCTGAACTGGGTACATAGCTAAACCCAGTTGAGGCCCTGTTTGTGCAGGACCTGTATATAAACTTAGGAGTTTTGTGGGGTGGAGGGAGAAATCTACACTTCTTGCCACTGCCCAACAAAAGTCTCCTAAGTGAGTTCCCTGGTTTATTCAACCTGCCACCCACCAAAAGGGAGTGGTTGGCCTTTTTCTTAGGTCTCTTCTTGTCCTCACCATGCTGGGAACTCGTTTCAGATTACAGCTGGGAAGCTCCCAAGGAAGTTGTCACCCAGCATAAATTCCTGCTTTTTCCTACATTCATATTCCAATTCTAACATTAATAAATATCCCTTAATTGTATATCCTGGAATCTGGATGATACTGGAAGACAGCTATGCTCACCACTATACCACCAATGCCCACTTGGATGATACTAGAAATATGCACTTTTTTTCGTTTTCTTGATCACAGCCAACACACCTTTACAGGGAATCCAGTCATATATAACCAGCCTCTGTTCCATCTGCCATCTGCCTGAGTCCAGCCAGTTATTCATTGCAGGCTGTCCACACTTGCACAGTGCTGTGGTAACTGAGACCCATGCAAAGCAAGGACACGTTTCCAGACTGCCCAACTTTCAGCTAACATGGTACCCTTACCAAGTGAGGGATGCCTCTATTTAATATACCACTTCTTCCTTTTCCTCAATTACTAAACAAACATTGCAATGAAAATCTTCTACCCCATGTCTTTTTATGCTCTCAGCACATTCTTACAATTTGAGTAACTGAGTAAAAATATACAAACACTTTTAAGACTCCTTAAAACATAATGTTAAACTGATTTCCATAAAAAATATGTGTCATTATTTCAACACCATCAATGTAGAAATTGTCGTACTTGTTAAACTCTCTTAAACATGGATTCACAAAACAGTACCTTAATTCATAATTTCGATTGCTGACATTTATTTATTTTAATTCTGATTAACACAGAGTTTCTTTCCATGTTTAAATGACTCATAGATGAGGGGTATGTGTGGGCTTCTCAGTTCTTTTGAGGGATAATTGTTGGCAAAAATAAAACTCAGTTAGGGATGTGATTCTGTATTTAGGTATCTTTGTTGAAAAAAAATATGTTGCATTATGGACACAGGTATGGTACAAAAATAAATGTTTGTATAAAAGCATTCATACATAAACAGCTTTAATGTGCCAAGGTTATAGGCTTTTTTCATGACTAGGCCACCAGCACCTCTCTGCCTTTCTGAAAAAACAGTTTAACTGTATTGTAACCTTTCAACTCTGAGAAGTCCTCTCTCTGGCCTCCATTTCATACATCTCCCTTTCTGATCTGGGTAGAACAATCATATTAATACTAAATATTTTTCCACATTTTTCCAATAATCTACAGTGAATGAACATTGTTTATATTGTCATATTTGATTTTTATGTATATGTATGCATATACCTCATGAACTGAACCATTATTGCAGGATTTCTGTATTAAAGTTTCTGCATGGGATATCTAGAGGCATCTGATTTGAGTTCTCCAAAAATAAATTTGAAAAGAATAATAGTTAAGATAAAAATGTCTTTACAAAGATTCAAAACATATTTTAATCTGCATTAATTGTAAGAATTTGGTTTCAAATATATATATGTCAGGAACAAATAGAAAAGAACTTCTTTAGTGTGCAATAAACATAACATAAACATTAGTGGAAAAATAAATGGTTACTTAATGGAGAGAATGGGTTAGAATGTGATAGAAAATGTTATATACAATATTCTAACAAAGGATAAAATTGTATCTCAAACAATTCAAGGTATTCTCATAAAGTATGGGCATGAAAAATAATAACATAATATAGATGCTTACTTATTTAAATTTAAGTTTGAGAAAAAAACACAAAACAAATAAGAAAGATAAAATATTTTCAAATAAAAATGTAAATATTCTTCATGCGAGAAATCATCAGACATCAAATGTACAATAGTCATCACACTAATAGATGTCCCTTATTCTTTAAACATATATTTCAGTTCTTCTGTTCAATGAAAATAGGTCTATTTCCTAAGAATTATGGCAGAGAAACAAATACTCTTAAATGACATTTTCTAATAACAAATGTACAGTGAAATCATTATTCTCAAACATTGTTTATCATAACTGTACACTTTGATGACTAAGTATGACTCTTTCTGAAGAAAAATTTACCCAAAGAAAAAGTTAGCAAAGCCTTTAAAAATGTTGAGATTATTTAATTCAGCAATTTCTCATTTAAGAATTTATCCTAAAAGAACAATCAGTAAGATATATGCATAGAGTTATGAGTCAATTATAACAAAAATAGCAGAAATCTTAATATGATAGAATAATGGTTTGCAAGATAAACTAAGTGAACAAAAATGCCAAATGCAGAGAGCAGTTCTCTTTTAATAAGTAAAATTTAGACTTATTTCAAAGTTGAAATTGAATTTTAATACAAAATTGAAAAATATCTTAGTAGTTTTCACAATACATGTGTAATATTTTTATAACTAACTTCAAGTATGATTCAATTTTGTATATTATATTACATTAAAAATTGTCCTCACTACATATATTTAGTCCATAAGAAACACAAACATAATACTATCAAGTGAAATTAATGTTCAAACTTGTCTATGGGAAATATTCCAATTTTTATAAATTATAAAACTATATATGAATATCCATTTATTGAGGAAAATATAACAAAACACAAACAGAGGTTGTTCATTGGTTTAGGACATAAGACTGACAAACATTACTTCCTCACATCTGTCTGTATTTTTAGTTCCAGATAGTGAACATGTTTGATAGAATCAGCCTATATTCAATCAATTGAAACTTAAGAATAGAGCCCAAATTTCTACAACTGCTGGTCATGTAGATATTTCCTGGAAAACAATTCAGACAAAATACAATAAATGTAGTTGTTCATTTTATATGGACACTTAGTATTGTGGTTTTATGTAAAATTAAAGTCCACCTGCCTGGTATAGCTCAGTGAATTGAGTTCAGGCCTGTGAACCAAAGGGTTGCTGGTTCAATTCCCAGTCAGGGCACATGCCTGGGTTGCAGGCCAGGTCCTCAAATAGGGGACACATAAGAGGCAACCACACATTGATACTTCTCTCCCTCTCTTATTTCCTCACTTCCCCTCTCTCTAAAAATAAATAAAAATAATTTTAAAAATAAATAAAATAAAAGTGCACAATCTCAGAATACCAAGCATTTAAGGCAATTTAAAAAAAACTTTAATACAACTTTCAGTATGTAACCATGTCATTGACTAATAAATAATGCATGGATTAATATGAATAAATTATGTATCTCTTTATATAGCTTTACTTAATATCAATTATTCTCAATGGAAATTTTGAAAACTGTTACAGACTAATCTAGAAAATAGTGAGTCACAGACAGTTTTATACACCAAAGTAAGCATTGGGTGTTTGCTTCCAGAGGATTTCTACACACCTACTCATCTGCATATGCTCTCAGGGCTTTCTTGGGTCTGCAGAAGCTAGCTGATAGACACTAATAACTTTTAATACATTACACATAAGTCAGAACTACTCTGTAAACACTACATCTACATTGACATTGCACTTTACTGAAGATTGAATTATATTCATATTTCTGGACTCTTATAAGGAGGTTTGACAGTGTATTTTCAAAATTAAGGAATGTAAATGGTATTTGAAAATGAAAAAAATTGTTTCTTAGGATGTGTATAATATGTGTGGTTAGGGGAATGTATACAGAAAGTTTAAACCTCTGGGTGATCCACGTATTTAAGGTTTCTTCATCATAATTCCAAGCACCAGAGCAATTGTTGTACACCACACATTGAGAATAAACTATTCATAATTTTTCAAATAGAAGTGTTAACCTAATCACCTTATTTATAACTCACTGTGGTTTTGAAGACTGTGTAACTCAGAGCAATTGGGTTTCCGATGTTCCCATCAGAGTCAATTATAATATTTACCAACAAGTAGGTAAAGATAGTGAAGTATTGGATGGAGTTATTGAATATTGCCCATTTATTATCAAAAGTTCTCTGTTAAATAAAACATTTTCAATGTCAATATTACAGTTTTATGAGAACAATATCCTTACAGTTACAAATTTTGACAAAAATTAGCAAATGTCATTGAGAGTTCATGACAATAAATAAAAAATGATTACAGAGCAGTAGGTTTGTCCTTTGAAGAGAGTCCCTCTCTCATAACAGAAACTTACTCAGTACAAAGAACAGATGCCTAACCTGCGCTTTTATGGAAGAGATTTCCCCTCACTGTCTGCTGCAGGGCGTGGATCACATGCTTGTTCCTTAGACTATAGATCAATGGGTTCAGCATTGGGCTCAAAAAAGTATAAAAGACTGCAATTATTTTGGACTCCTCTACAGACCTCTCAGATGGGGGCTTTAAGTACATGCAGAAGAGAGTCCCATAAAATATAGTGACTGTTGTCAGGTGGGAACCACAGGTGGAGAAGGCTTTGTGCCTGCCTTCAGTAGAATGGATCCTCAAGATGGCTGCAAGAATGAAAAGGTAGGACAGGAGAATGATGAAGAGAGAGCTTGAGAGAGTAAATCCAGCCACTACCAGCATTGCCATCGTTTTGACATGGGTGTCAGAGCAGGCCAGCATTATAAGAGGAGGATCTGCACAGTAGAAATGATTGATTTCCAGGGAGCCACAGAAGGACAAGTGAAAGGTCAGCAGTGCCTGAGAGAGTCCATTGAGGAAGCCAAAAACATAACATACCATGACTAGAGAGGTACAAGTGTCCTTGGACATTCTGGTGCTGTAATGTAATGGGCTGCAGATGGCTACATAGCGATCCAATGCCATTGAGGCAAGGATGAAAAGCTCAGTGATCACCAGGGCAATAAAGAGAAGACACTGTGAGAAGCATCCAGCATAGGAGATGGTCTTCTGGTCTGAGAGGAAATTGTACAGCATACTTGGGGTGATGTTGGAAGAATAGCAAATATCTACAAAGGAGAGGTGGCTAAGGAAGAAATACATGGGCGTTTGGAGGTGGGAATTGGTCCTGATCAGCACGATCATGCACAGATTCCCTGTCAGCGTGATTAGGTAGATCACCAGAAACACCCCAAACAGGATCTTCTCTAGTACTGGGTCATCTGTGAGTCCCAAGAGAATGAATTCTGCCACTGTAGTGTGGTTTTGGGAAGACATTTTCTTATCCTTGAAAAACTAAAAGTCACAAAGAAAAGTGAAGGATTCTGCATTTATTTTATCCACCTCATATTTACTTATTAATTTAGTCATTATTGGGAAATTTCTCTTTTCAAAAATACATGAGTGTCACCCTGGGTTGTGTGGCTCAGTGGATTGAGTGCAGGCCTGAGAAACAAAGAGTCACTGGTTTGATTCCCAATCTAGGTCCCATGCCTGGGTTACAGGTTCAGTCCCCTGCAGGGGGTTCTCCAGAGGTAATCACACATTGATGTTTTCTCCCTCTCTTTTCCCCTTCCTCCCTCTTTGTAACAAAAATAAATAAATACAATCTTTAAAAATTACATGAGTGTCTACATAAATATATTCACCCTATATCTCTGTGTTGTCCCTCTCTTCCTCTCAATATATCAAATAGACATATACATTCTCTTTCTTAGATGTATGTGATTATATATGTATATATAATTCCATTGTATATTAATGTATAATGTTACAATACCCTATATTATATATTCTTACATTTATATCTATCTTTTTGGAGAACTTCATATATGATATTTTTTTAAATATTGTGAAAAAATAAAGCCAAAGGAATGAAAATCAGTCATGAAAAACAGCATCTTAGCATCATTCACTTGAACAAATGATGGAAGTTAGTTTCCTAGGGTTCCTCCCACTCTGGTATCTTATAGTTTCAGACACAAAATAAGATATAAATATTTAATCTAGTATTTTCATTTGAAAATCCAGTTGTCTGACCTCATGTTATGTAGAGGACATTGAGTTAGTGAAACTTATCTTTTTGTCTATGGCTAAGAAGTTACAGAATAAAGAGTTGTTTTCTCTGTTTTGTAAATTAACCCGCTCATTTATTCATGTACACTGAAAAGTTTTGATATATTTCTGTTCTAGGTTCTGGGTTGATAGCGTGAAAACTATTCCTCATCTTCACACAGCATATATTATGGGAGAATTAAACACAGAGACAAAGCTGTACAACATAATGTCATTTAGAAACAAGCATTATGAAGGAAATGAAGGCAGGATATTGTCAGAGGTACTTTTTTCCCCACATGAGCGAGATACTAATTTACACCCAAAATAGCAAAACATGTTTTTGTGAACAAATGTAGAAAATGACCTACCTGTAATAGATGACTTACAATATTTTGTAAAAACAAAGTAGGAAGATTTATAGTGTATTTCTTAAGAAGATTGTCTAGGGCATTTTTTATATCATTTTAAACACCAATTAAAATAGCCTTTGTTCCTCAAGGGAAAATTTTTAATTTTATGCTTTGGGAGCTAGAGTCTCCTTTGAGGCCATTTACCCCTTCCTAACACTTATACACACTGCTGATATTGTGTATGGGCTTTTTTAACACATGTAGAGAATTTAACTGTCACTTCTAATACTATGGAAGACTAAATATGGGAAAATGAGTTTTGCAGTTTTAGTATAGTAAAGAACAGGGAATTCCAATCAGAAAGCTTAATGGTTCTGTATAAAGAGTGAGACGAGGTCATCTAAGGAGAGAAAGGAGGAGGAAGGTGCAGTAGTGTAGAGATGGGAGGAGCAAAAAAACTAGGAAAGCCACAAACTGAAAAACAGTGTCCATATTAAATAATCCTGACAAAGTCTTGTATTCAGAATACATGATGGTTCTGCACAATAAAATAATCAGCCCAATTTTGAATGTCTAAGAAGGAACTAAACAATTTATTAAAAAGGTATATGAACAGCCACCATACATGAAGAGAATTTCAACACCCATCCATAATTGTCAAAGAAATGCCTCTTGTAACTGCAGTGGGATGCCACCTCAAGCCCACATCAATGGCAAGAATTTTTTCAATAGATAATAAAAACATAACAAGGTCAAGTACTTGAAACTCTCAGAATAAATCACTTGATGGAGTATAAAATGATTAAAATGCCTTAGAAAATTGGCTATTTCTTATAAAATTTCATGAAATGCCATAATTCTTTATAAAATGGTGGCCCAGTAAGTATTAAGTATTTATCCAAAAGAAAAGAAGACATACCCACTAAAAACCTCAAACGTATATTGGCAGATACATACATTTAAATATAGTGAAATATCCCTATAATTGAATATTAATCAGCAGCAAATGTTTTTGAAAGATAAATAATACAACTAAAATGAATCTCAAAAACAAAACCTTATATCAAGAGGAAGATAACTTCCAGGATGGCAAAGTAGTGATCCCCCAAAACCTGCTTCTCCATAACAGTAATGAGAACACTGACGGAAGTTGTAAAATCAGCTATTCAGAACTCTGGATATTAACCAAAGACTTCTAACAATCCCAAGAGTGCTTCTTATGTAAAAATGCCCGAATCTTGTTAGGAAGAGCGAGCTTTGGGGAGTTTTTATATATGTGCCTTATTCTCACCCTCTCTCCCCACCTGCACAGCAGCCTTAAAAACAAACCATGATTACATGGCTGTATACTTCTGTCAAATTGCATTAAAATGTCTCCATTTTACTGTAATCAATTTACCTTTGTAAATTCTGAAGTTAAGTTTTGCTTTCCTCAGAGTCCAGCAGATCAAATTATTCAATGACTGTTTAATAATAAAGATCTAGTAAAAAAATAAACACACACACAGAGGCACAATAGCATCAGTCTCTTTCCAAAGTTAAATGAAACAGGTCAATAGTAAGCCTTGAAGGCTATAACTTGTTTCAAACAGACTCTTCAAGCCCTGGGTGGCGTAGCTCAGTGGACTGAGCGTGGACTGTGAACCAAACCATCACAGGTTCAATTCCCAGTCAGGGCACATGCTTGGGTTGCAGGCCACAGCCCCCAGCAACTGCATATTGATGTTTCTCTCTCTCTCTCTTTCTCCCTCCTTTCCCTCTCTAAAAATAAATAAATAAAATAAAATAAAAGCCAGCTCTCTGTTAAAAAAAAACAGATTCTTCATCTCCCAAATTTTAACCATTACATCATGAATGAAATCTAAACTATACTATAAGGTCATAGTAATCAAAACAACCTGGTAGTAGCATAAAAACAGACCCAAAGATCCACAGTACCGAATAGAGAGCTCAGAAATAAACCCACTCCTTTATACTCAGTTAATATTAGACATAGGAAGCAAGTACATACAATGGGCAAAAGACAGTTATTCACTAAATGGTATTGAGAAATTGGACAGATACAAGTAGAAAAATGAAACTAGACCACCTTCTTACACCACACACAAGAATAAATTCATAATGGAACAAAGACTTAAATTACTTGGTCAGACAATAAGGCTATATTGCACACCTATGACCAAAATGTTTACTTAGCAAACAATTTATTTTTGATAACTTTCCTAATTGCTTCTTTTACATCTTTGTTCCTCAGGCTATAGATCAAAGGATTTAACATAGGACTCACAAAGATATAAAACACAGCTACAATTTTACCCTGCTCTACAAATGTTTCTGAAGGAGGTCTCAGATACATGCAGAACAGTGTCCCATAAAAGACAGTGACAGCTGTCAGGTGGGACCCACAGGTGGAGAAGGCCTTGCGCCTTCCCTCAGCAGACCGAATACGCAAAATGGCTGTGAAAATGAAAATGTAGGAGATGAGAATCATGGTGAGAGAGCAGGTGAGGTTGGAACCGGCCCCAATGTACATGGCCATTTCTTTAGCATGAGTATCTGAGCAGGCAAGGACTAACAAAGGTGGGTCTGCACAGTAAAAGTGGTTGATTTCATTGGGTCCACAGAAAGAAAGACAAAGCATCAGAATGGTCTGGGCCAGACCATTTGCAAAGCCATAAGTATAAGTAATCACAGTGAGAAAGATGCAGACCCTTCTGGACATTTTGCTACCATATAACAAGGGTTTGCAGATGGCCATGTAGCGGTCATAAGCCATCACTGTCAGCATATAATAATCTGTGACCACCAAGGCAATGAAAAAGTAGAATTGCATAAAGCAACCAATGACAGAAATGGTTTTCCTCTTGGATAAGAAATTAACCAGCATCTGAGGAGTGACATTGGTGGCATAGCAGAGATCTAGGAAGGAGAGGTGACTGAGGAAAAAGTACATTGGAGTGTGAAGTCTTGAGTCACTCCTGATTAGCAAGATCATGCTCACATTGCCAATCACTGTGATCAGGTAGATGACCAGGAACACCACAAAAAGGACAGGCTGCAGCTCTGCTCTATCTGTCAGACCCAGGAGAATGAACTCAGTCACCTCTGTGGAGTTCCTCTTCGACATTGTGTTTGCTTGGCTTCAAAGGAGGTCTAAATCAAGGAAACAGAGACTCATGCATTTTATCATTCATCCATTATCCCCCTCATGTCCTCTGATACTTCCTCCTCTTCTCTCAAACTTGTAAATACAAGTGGCATAAAGAAGTAATCTAGTGACCATGCAATTGATGTTTAAATATCTAAATTAATATACACAGTTTTAAATAAACATAGTCATATTTTAAATGATTTCTGCAAGGCTTTTTGTATTTGAAAATCCTTTATCTTTTTTGCAGCTCTTTACCACATTTGTTCATTTACAAACATCTTAAACATTGCTTTTCTTCAGAATTGGAATGTCATTTATCTTCAGTATACCTCTTGATATGGTATCTAAAGCATCATCATTGAAACTCATCTGTTCTTTACAGCTGAATAGACTTACTGCAGTGGGACTGATGAAAGGCTCACAGCCTTACAGAACTGGAATCTGTCTACCTGCCCTCTAAACTCAAGTGTGTTTTCAGCTTGTCTCCTCTCCCTGAAGTGCATGTCCTTTGCCCCCCACTCTCATGTACCTCAGGTGTCCATCTTATCACCAGATCTTACTTAACTTTTTTTATTGTTGTTCATTTACAGTTGTCCCACTTTTTTTCCCATTACTCTCTCCAGCCCCACCCTCTGTCCCCCAACCCTGCTCCCACAGTCAACCCCCACCCCATCCATGCCCATGAGTCATGTGTTCATGTTCCTTGACTTGTCCCTTCC